AGGGCATTTAGGTCAATCCAGGGTGGACACCACCCCTGCTTCTTCTTTGGGAGAGCACAAGTCCAAGGTCACTGACCCAAGTCAAACTTTTGCTTCAGGGAACGAAGGGCATTTAGGGCAATCCAGGGTCAATTTGGACCGACCAAGAGGATTGGAAGAGGATCCTTATCCACAGGCACATACTCCTTCAAATTATCAGAACAAAGTCACTGATCCAACTAATGCAGGTAATTGTGGAATATTATATATTATCTCTTTATCTTTTGCTACAAAATAATTTGTGATTCCATAACATGTGACAGGTGGTGAAGATGTAGGAATTACGCCAATTCGTCAGTCCCTTGATAAGTTGAATATCCATGCTGGAACTGAGCAGAGCAGCTACACAGACAAGGCAATCTCTGCAAAAAATGTTGTTGCTTCCATGCTGGGATATGGGGGGAACAATGATCAACATGGAGATATTAAACCTCAGGCTTGTACTGCTTCAAGTAATGCAGGTAAGTTCTTTAGGACTAATAATGGCCCTTGTGGTTATGGCTTAATCTGTTTTAGACTAAGCAAAACATGTTTATGTTTTTGTTACTGCAAATCAATTTCCTATTTCCTAACATGGGCCTTCTGATTATGGCCTATTTGTTTTTAGACGAAGGACTTATTTCCTAACATGTTACAGGTGGTGGTGGTGATGAACAAAAACCACACCAAAATCTGAGCACTGGAAGCCATGACCAGTTTTCTGCTGAGAGACCATCAAACCAGAGCAGCACCTATACTGAGAAAGTTTCATCTGCCACATCTGCTATAGCCAACAAGGCAATATCTGCTAAGAACGTCGTCGCTTCCACACTCGGGTATGGAGGGAACAATGATGATGATGATGATCAGGAGGTTACAGCAAAGCCTGGTGGATCAACGTCGCCTGAGCAGCATGATAAAGGAGTTTCAGAAAGCAAAGCCGGCCAAGAAAAAGGAGTTTCTGTGAAGGACTATTTTGCTGAGAAGTTGAAGCCTGGCGAGGAGGACAGGGCTCTTTCTGAGGTGATATCAGAATCTCTGCATAAGCGCAAGGCAGAGGACTCTGCTCGGCCTGTGGGGAAGGTGACCGAGTCGGAGGAGGTGACGAGGCGCTTGGGTCCAGATTGTGGAATTGAGAGGGTTGAGCAATCTAGCTATGGGAAGATTGTTTCTGATACGGTTAAAGGCGCTGTTGGTTCATTGTTTGGGAAAGCTGATGAAAACCCTTCTTCTCAGCAGTCCACTGGTTCTGCAACAGGTAACAACTTGCGACATTTGTTCAAATTTAATCAGAAAATAATTAAATTTAGTGGTTTCGTTGTTTGATAACAATATTGCGGTTCCATTTTGGTGGTTTCGTTGGCAGGTGGTACAGATGGTTTACCTAGTTCTGGAAGTGGGGCAGCAGAGCACCCAAGTCTTCAGGGGTCGGGCAAATGAATGGAAGTTTGTGTTGGTGAATAAATTAATCCGAGACTAGAGAGATGGGATTATTTGAAGTTTGTTTTTGTATGGGGTGTTATAATGGTGTTTGACAATGACAACCGACAAGGATTGTGTGTTGTTGATTGTCAATTCCAACGTTTCAAAAATGTTTGCCGTGTGTATAATATGTATGATGAAAACAGGGGATAATCTGTTTCAGTTTCAACGTAGAATTATTCTTGCAGTTCTCAAATATTTGGGTCACTCTGTTTTCATTTTTGCAATAAAATGACAAAATTTCCTCATTTTCTGAGCAGCTAAACACTCAAAAACATCGATATCCCCAACAAACGAATCCAGCTAAAATTTCTTCAAACAGAATACATAAATCCAAGTGTTACCTAATCAATTAGGAAAGATGATAATCAAATTACGTCATACAAAGTCAAATCGCCAAACAAATCAAAGC